GGCAGGGGCCCAAGCCCTGGGGCCGTCCTCCACACCTTTGCCAGGAGCACTGGCAGGGAGCCTGGATCAGAAGCAGAACAGGTGGGACTTGAAATGAGCTCTGCAGCTTGGGATGCTGGCTCCCGAGCCAGGGCTTAGCCTGCTGCGCCACACTGTGGGCCCCTGAATTACTGTTTAAAGACCCCATCACCTAAGTGGCAGCCTTGTCCCTAAAATGATTTCACTGGCAAATCCCAAAGCAGAATTGAGGCCATCGTCCCCCCAGAACACAACAACTGGAGAACAAAAAGCACAACACGCAAAAAGCACAACACTGGCCGGCGCCGCAGCTCACTAGGCTAATCCTCCGCCTGCGGCGCCGGCACACCGGGTTCTAGTCCCGGTCGGGGCGCCGGATTCTGTCCCGGTTGCCCCTCTTCAAGTCCAGCTCTCTGCTGTGGCCCGGGAGTGCAGTGCAGGATGGCCCAAGTGCTTGGGCCCTGCACCCCATGGGAGACCAGGAGAAGAAGTACCTGGCTCCTGCCTTCGGATCAGCGTGGTACGCTGGCCGCAGTGGCCATTGGAGGGTGAACCAACGGCAAAAGGAAGACCTTTCTCTCTGTCTCTCTCTCTCACTGTCCACTCTGCCTGTCAAATAAAAAAAAAAAGCGCAACGCTGCTCCCTGAGACAGCATGCGGGGCTCCCCGCCTGGCCTGGGAGGGCCACAGCGCCGGGCGTCAGGCACCCAACGCCGCCACACAGGCTCCTTCCTCGGGCCACCGGCAATGGTGACAGCCCCCAGGCAGTCTCCCAGGAAGCAGCCCCACCAGCTGCCACCAGCAGGGGGCGGAGCTCCCAGTAGCAGTCCGGACCGGCTCAGAGAAGATGCCCAAAGCGACAGCTGTCTCCTCCGGAACACTGCCTGGGAGTTAGCCAGTCCCTTCTGGCGCAGGAGTGATGGCCGAGACCACCGGGGCACCGGCAGAGAGGCAGCGTGCATGAGCCAGGCAGTGCACTCCGGAAGACACACGCCTTCGCACTCCAGTGCCTGCGCTCCATTGCCCGCGCCCCGCGGCCCCGGGAGAAGGGCCAGGTCTTTCCCTCCGCAGCCCTTCAGAAGGGGAGGTCAGCACTTGGAGGGGACAAGCAGGCATCCAGGAAGGGCCGGGGAACAGCGCAGGAGTCTGGACGCCTGCACCCTCTGCGGACCCAGGGGCTCCGGCCGGTTGTTCCGCATGTACACACGCTTCTCCGCTGTGGAGGGGAAGTTAGAGGCCCTGTGTCACCAAGTTTGGAACACGGTAATACGTGTGACAAACCTGTGCAACATAGAAGCATTGCAAACACCCAGCAAACGTCACTGTTTCAGAACAAACCGGGAAAAGCAGGAAGAGCCGGAACCTCAGAGGGAGGAGGAAACCTCAAGGGGTCAGAACTGCGGTGTGCTGGGCTCACCTTGCCTGCCCGTGGACGTGACCATGGGTAAACTGAGGCAGCCTGAATCATGTCTGCACTGCCTCACCTGACATGGAGGGCTGAGTCAGCTCCCATTATTAACGTCCTCAGCCACCAGTGGTCACCGGGCGGCCTGGCAAAGGGAAGACAGATGACCTGATGTGCTCTCTGCCCCTGAAACTGGAGCCACGGCAGAACTACTGAGCCTGCTCCAAGGGGCAGTGGAAGGCAACTTCTCTGAGCATCTCAGTGGCACAGACACTTGACGTTCAGAAAGGTGAGGCATGGCTAAGCCTCCGTGGGCAGCTCGTACTGTGCTGAGCACCCAACCATCATTGGCAGGTGCATGGTGGGAGGCTATTGATTTGTCTCCTGTCCCAAGCCAACAACAGTTTGCTTCATTGCAAAGGAACCAGAGGCAGAGGAGCAGAGAGCTGTGTCCTTGACCGTGGGCTGGTTCTGTAAACCTCTTCTGTGATGAGTGACCCCCATCAAGACAGATGCAATTATCTCCCGTGTCAGCCACTCGTCACTCTCTGGTTGGCATGAAGTGCAGAAAACCGCCTGTCCAAGGCATTTTGATCCTTGGAACTGACGAGGACATCCACCGGCAGGTGGCTGATGGCACAGGTCAGGTGACACATGTCCCTACCCCACTGCGGAATAGCCAACGCCAACGGCTCACTCTGCCCAAATGAGCAGCACAGGCACGGGCAGTGCCTTGGGGGTCTCCAGAGGTGGTGACTCAGGGACACCCGTGGCCTTACCGCCGCGTCCCCTCTGGCCTTGGTCTGAGGACCCTCGGGGTGTCAGAGACTTCCCCTCCGTGTTCACGGCAGCTCTGCAAATCTCCAAAGAAAACTTCAGACACGGCTCCGCTGGCCTGCTGGTCCCCATGGAAGTGGCGTTCTGGGGGGTCCAAGGGTGGCAGCTGCTCATTCCCGCCGGCTGCCAAGTGGCCAGTCAGGTCCCACCCACCAGGATGGTGTTCCCTGCACTGTGATGTCACAGAGTCTCAGAGCCTGAGCTGGGCCAGGCAGGAGGAGAGGAGGACAGGACAGGAGCCCACGGGGGAAGGAGGAGCCTGGCGAGATGCTGAGACGGGTTTCTCTGCCGGTCCCTTGGAGCCTGGTTCTGTCCTCACTTCCTGCTTCTTGGGGATCCGTTAAAACTCGGGAGCCACCCCTCCTTTCTCGGGCTTTCTTCGGGGATCCTCACGGCAGAGGATTCCTGACACAAGCAACTTCCCTGGAAAACCGCTCCACAGTCTTGCAGTCACTTTGTGAGCTGGGGCAAGCGGCTGAAGGTCGCTGGGCCTCGGTTATCCCATCTGTAAAGTGGCAACAGCAGCCTCCTGACAGCACAGGGCCATTCTGAGAATACAAATGTGGAGTGAGAACGCCGTGCACGCTGCCCCACACAGAAGGCAGCGGACGTGACCGCCTGCCCTCCCAGCTGCGTGGTTCCTTCTGGACGTCTCGCTGAGTACAGACCTGATTTAGAGCGGTGCCCACACAGAGTCCTCCCGGGGAACCTGCCGGGGCTGCTGGTGCACATGGCAACCATCCCCCGGCCCCACCTGCCTCTGCCTCCGGCTTCATAACCGTGTAGCTCCCAGCCCAGGCTCCAGCGCGCT